TAAAGGTCAGTTCTAGTTCTGCCTGATAGCAGGGGAGTTCTCACGTGGGGGTAACACCTAAATCAGAACATGGAAGGTAAAGAAGAATTTTCAATTCCAAATAACCAAAAGCGGTAAAGCATGTGCAAATGTACCAAGATGCAGCAAAAGAAATAGCCTAATGGATGGGCCTTCTTATGACAATGTATGTAGTCAAGTTGAGAGGTTTATATTTTAGTCTAGAAGTGATTTGTATTTGATTGATTAGATTTTTTTTTTGTTAGGAGTTTTAGAAATAATAGAATCGGTAAAAAGAATCATTTAAATTATCACTCACAGTACTATAAAAATAGTAATGGATAGTAAGTCTTAATTTAGACAGCAATATAACTACTGAAATACATGCAAAAGTAAAAATAAATGAGAATATATGCAATGGAAATGTGGGAAGTGCTTATTTTTCCGTATTTTGAACAACATTGACCTTGAAGATACAATTCTCAATTGTTCTTCTGCTTATAAAAATTTCATTTCTCTTTGATTACATATTTAAAAAATCTATTGTGGGAAGACATATTATTTGCTATATGTGTGTTTTGAAAAATTGTACTCGACAGTATTCCATACCTTTTAGTATTTATTTACCTAAGTTTTCGATTGATAGCTGAATGCATTGTGATAGAGTAAAATCTAAACTTAAAAAGATCTAGGTATCATTGTACAACTAATGCTCTCTAAGGATATATAAAGGATATATAAGGCTATGAGTAGATAAAATATTTCTTATATCCAATTTCTTTATTGGGATAAGTTGATTTAGTTCCTTTTCTGTGGCACAAACTGGCGCTCCAGTTTGTGATGCCTCATCATCCATTTCCAAGTAGATAAATATTAAAGAGAGAACTTAACAGATAGAGCCTGAGGTGGTTTATAGGCAGAAAATGCAAAACTGTTTGTTATAGATGCTGCTCCAATGAAATACATTTTTTGTATAATGTGGAAATGAGATTAGATTAACATAAGGGTGTAGATAACAGTGAAATAAAAAAAATTAGCTATACTAAGAGATAGCATGATGAAAAGAATGACTTCGAGCTTTAGTTCATCTATATACTTATCTATCAATAAATATTTTTATTACATTATCATTCTAGATATGTGCTTTTTCATTTGTTCCCATTTATTTGTCTTTTTTAAGTAAGTTCTACAATTTACACATTTACACAAGCTTTTGTCTAAATATAAATTTGCTTCAAAGTATTTTTTTTTTTTTAGTATTCTCTGACAGAATTTTCTCTCATTTGTAAACACAGACATGAAGAAATCTGTTTTTTATTAGGAAACTACACTACTATAGTCTTGGAAGTTGTTAACAATAAATATGTTTAAATTATTGCCAAATAGTAACTTAAGAACTGGTAAAATAAATTAAAAAAAATTTTTTTTAATAATAACCTTTCATGACTTTTTATCTTCAGCCATTTTGGACCACATTTTTATTGTACTTAAGTTTAAAAAAAAGGCATTTACAAACCACATTTAGCTATAGAATTATGAATACTCACTCTGCAGTCAAAATGAAAAATTGTGATTGTTAATTAATTAGTATTTCTCCATAATTACAAACATGAAATGTTTTTCTACAACAGTTGATTTAATAACTGAACTATGACCTCTTCTGTATCAGCTTTTAAGTGTGATCTATAAAATGCTAGGAATCTACCAGATGCTTCTTGGAAAAATTGTTCCACAAACAAATATTTGGTTAAATGTAGTTAGTAAACTGAGGCAAATCATGTTACATTTGTTTCAGTGTTAGCTGCCCAGTAGTGAATCATCGAGTGCTCTGTTAATTTTGTATTATATCCCTTTCGTCTAGAGATTGTGCACATTTTATGTTTGGGAAATACAATTCTTTTTAAGAACACTGCATTATAAAAATTATAACTTAAAAATGAAATAAATAAAACAAAAATCATAGTGCACCTGTCCTCTGCCATTTTGAAGGGAACATGGTGGGTGGTGGTGGTGGTGAAGGGTCAGATGTTTTTCTGTTAAGGGAAGGAACTGCCATAGCTTCTCGTGGTTTGTATATTTTTAGAGCACTGTCACTTTAATTTTGAAAATGTAAAAGGGAAAATCCCAGCTGAAGCAAAAGAAAAGATGAAAAGAAGTAGGGAGGAGAAAATATATGATGAGCTTGTAAGACAACTAGTGCAAATAAATCAGTTATTCTGATTTGCACTCTTTTTTATGAAGTCAGTCTGGAGGATGAAGTATGGAAATTGCTTTTCTTAAGTTACTTATTTCCTTTAAACAAAAATATCAACAGAAGGAAATCCCTGAGAATTTTCAATAATGATCTCTCCAAAAGGGTTATTCCTGCCAAGATTATTTTTCTATCACTGTGTCATATAATCTTTGTATAATTTATAAATGATAACAAAGCAATCAGGCCACATTCATAAAGACCCAATGACATATAATTTAGTTGAATCTGAGGATTAGAATTAATTGTCTCTCTTTGTTCCAAGTTCTAAATCTTAGTAAATGATTCACTGCATGTCATTACAGCTTAATATTTGCATGAAATCACAGTTTAGCTGGCATAATTTAACAGCAATTAAAAAGCTATTTAATCGTCGTGCAAATTGGTATGAGGGCCCTTGAGTAAGAAGGGTGTCTGCCTCTTAAAGTATCTCCAGGCGGACAGTTATATACTTGCAGACACCCCATAACATAATTGATAACATTATTCCTACTCATGGAAATATAAGTGAATAATAATTCATGTTTTCCACTATAAAATAAAGGCAGAGAACAACAATATGAACATGTCATTCTGTAGGAAAACATTATTATGTTAATTATAATGAATCTTTATCTCAGGCGTAAGTCGAGGTTGTAGGTAAAAACTATTCTTACCCCTGTTCTTTAGTTTATGATCTCTTACATACCTTACATATTGTCCTTTCTAGAGGAAGATGTCTCTGGGACTTTCTGTAATATGAAGTGGTTTAAAACAAAGTATATCTTAACCCTTTAGAAAAACTAACCATCTCATTTATAAGTCTAGCTTCAGATGATATAAACATAGGTGCCTGAGGTCCTTTCTGCTCATATCGGAATCCCACAAAAAGAAAAGGAGATATTTAGTACTTCCTACTTTCTCAGCCAATACAGTGGATTTATGACTACTGTTACACAACTCTAGCACTGTAAAACAGATGCTCAGAACTGAGTCCCCTGCACTCACTCAGACCATTCCCAGCACTGCAGTCAGAATGTTCCTTTAAAAAGCATAGTACTCCCATATGTAAAATCTATTTCTTCTTGTTATACTTCGAATGTATCTAGACCTATCCAGCGAGGCTAGCTATTTTGCCATTATCCGGGGCTTTTCTGTTCCTTGAAACTCATTAATTGTTTTTTTTGTTTGTTTGTTTGTTTCCTCTTTTACATTCTAGTGAGTTATTTTCTATAAGTACTATGACTGTTTCAAAATATTTCTGATGAAACACTTGGATAACTTCTAGCCCAGTATTATCCCCTCCCCCTCACCACCTCAGTCTTTCTCAGGCTGGTCTCCCTGATATGTTTCATTTCCAATTTTTCCTTCAGTTTTTATTATTGCATTTACCATCATTTGAATCTTATACTTCTGTCTGTAAGTGTTGTATGCCTAGCTATTCAAATACAAAAGTAAATAACAAGAAATCAGGAATATCAGTCACATTCACATTACAAACCCAAGATCTACCATAGTATATGGCATACATAGTTGTCACTAAAAACAATTGTTTATTGAATGAATGAATACCTCTTATCTTTAAATGCATCAGATGCCCATATCAGCACTTCAGTTTCTTTCCTTGGAGATTATGTTCTAGAAAATTTATTCCAAATTGCTAAGTAAATTATCCTGATTACAGAAATTTAAAGAATTGCATTATATTTATAAAACTTGGTCTTCTAAAATACAACAGGATTTTTATTTCACTAGTTATGATCTGTTTCCAAATATCTATTATACACATAGGCTGTTACAGAATAGGTTCCATGGTATTTCAAAGGTAGCATGCAGCACAGAGCCTGACACATACTTAATATGTGTTCAATGAATCATGTAAAACTGAGATTTGAAGGGCTGACACAAGTCTCAATTAGTGATATGATTTTAGGAAAGGACAAGAATGATTAAAGTATATTAAGTACTCTATTAAATATGATTGCTTATACACAAATAGAAAGGTGTCTAAAGAACCATTTTCATCCATTTCTTGGGACTAACTTGATTTATGAGAGTCTGAAGGAGAAGTGGATTGGGTAGGTTTCTTTGTCATCTTTTGAGAACATAATAGTGTTTAGCAAAGTAAATCCAAATAAAAATCTAATCACCATACCTATGTACAGCCTCTTCATCCCTTCCATAGAATGTTTTTATATCATAAAATTGCCATGGACCTGTAAAAGTCTTTGGGCTGCCTCCACTTTCCCTTTCTCTTCGTTTTCTACCAACAGTCTGTCAACTGTAAATGTATGGTCATTATTCTTAATAAAGTATAACTGTAAATGTATGGTCATTATTCTTAATAAAGTATAAAGTATTCTTAATAAAGTATAAAGTAGATCCTTAGAAATGATCAAATTTAATGAATGGGAGCTTTATCTACAACTCAGTCTTAAAGACTGAAAGATTGAACACATGTTCTATATATGTTTTTTTTTTTTCACATGCTGAAAATGGTGATGTGATTTTTAAGATGAGGGTAATGCCATCACATAGTTTAATGTTTGGGCTATTAGATATTTTCAGTAAACATGTATTTATAGTTGCTTTTAAAAATATCTTTCTAAGACCTAAATGTTCTTGACCACATGTTTTCTTACGGTCCCCATTAGAAGAAAGAGCTCAACCTAAAATTATAGACCAACAAGTATTTATTGATGAAGTTTTTAAGTGAGCGCCATTATCCATTGTCCTATACATGTACATTTGTTCTTTAATTGCTTTTCTCTAGGACCACCTTCAGCTCCTAGGAATGTGGTTTTTAACATCAATGAAACGGCCCTTATTTTGGAATGGAGCCCACCAAGTGACACAGGAGGGAGAAAGGATCTCACATACAGTGTAATCTGTAAGAAATGTGGCTTAGATACCAGCCAGTGTGAGGACTGTGGTGGAGGACTCCGCTTCATCCCAAGACATTCTGGCCTGATCAACAATTCTGTGATAGTACTTGACTTTGTGTCTCACGTGAATTACACCTTTGAAATAGAAGCCATGAATGGAGTTTCTGAGTTGAGTTTTTCTCCCAAGCGATTCACAACCATTACAGTGACCACGGATCAAGATGGTAAGTTCTGCTTTAAGTTCAAACAGACACATGATACCCTTTTGTTGCATCCAGCCCTGTAGGCCTATATTCACTAGGTGTACTGAGGTGGGTTATATATTCTCGACACTACAGAGGTGATTTTCTGGTGATGGTTCTTGTTGTCTCCCAAGGTGCAAAAAGATATTTTTGATATTTCTTCTTAGTAAAAAGGTTAATTATATAGGATGCTTACAATGTCTAAGAATTATACTTTTATAAAACCCTATAACAATATATCTTACAAGCAAATTTATGTTATTTACCAGTGAACATTGTATATTGAATTGTCCCACTTATGCAGCCATGACATTGCCATGACAAATAAACCAAATAGTAAATTTGTGTTCACTGTAATTCATACCTATGTGATAGAAACATTGCAGCCAACATGCTTGACCATGATCACTATCCACTCTGATAATGCAAGAAAATATCCAGTAGTGTATCCAAATGCTGTTGCTTAGGAACAATTTGTAACAAATAGTAAACTTTTTTTTTTTTTAAATCTAGCAGTTTGCAGTTAGTCTTTTTATATCACTACAGATTTTTCACTACAGCATAGTTAAGCGTGAACACTCCTGTGATTTTTATGTGTATTCTTTATGTCCCCCACATAATTTATTGCAGCATGGTACAGAAAAAGATTCAGAGATTATAATAATTCCTTTTGAGACGTGTTCATAAATTACATGGACACACAAGTGGTTGACTTGTAGCTGAAATCTTGTTATCTATTAACACATATATGGAGAGAAATTTAAAATGGTAAATCTATTCTTATGTAATATATTTGTTTGTTAAGTCTGTAGTAATACCGCAGACAAGGTGTCTTAAACAACAGGAATTTATTTCCTCACATCTCTGGAGGCTGGAGGTCCATCCAAGATAAATGTTGTCCATGGGACTAATGTCATTCTATTCCCTTTGCCTTGGCTTGTAGATGGCCCTTGCCTCCCTCTGTCTTCACATTGTCTTTCTTCCATGCAGTCTATGCCCTAGCCTCTTCTTATAAGGGCACCATCATGTTGAGTTAAAGCCCACCTGTATCACTTCATTTTACTTGTATTATTTCTCTTAAGGTCTTATCTCCCAAAGAAGTTGAAGTTAGGGCTTTAATAGATAAATTTTGGAAGATTAAGTTTAGCTCATAATTACACTAATTTAGAATCAAATTATTTGTAATATAAAAGTTTATAGGAAGGTTTGAAATACTACTTAGCAATAAAAAAGAAACCATAACTTAGAAGAAAAGGCCACTATGTTAAGTTAAAAAACCAGTTTGGAAAGCATGTTTATTGCATGCTTTCCTCCCTCTGTCTTCACATTGTCTTTCTTCCATGCAGTCTATGCCCTAGCCTCTTCTTATAAGGGCACCATCATGTTGAGTTAAAGCCCACCTGTATCACTTCATTTTACTTGTATTATTTCTACAAGCCAAGGCAAAGGGAATAAAGCAAGGCAAAGCATGTTTATTGCATGATTCACTTGTATAATATTCTTGGAAAACACAATTATAGAAATGGGGACTAGATTAGTGGTGATCAGGGGCTAGGGTTTGGGGTTGGGAAAGATATCAATATGAGAGGTGATGGGAGGGAGCCCTATGGTGATAATACAGTTATGCATTGTGATTGTGGTGGTATAATTATTGGGGTGGTAATTACATGAAACTATACATGTGATAAATTATATAAAATTACACAAGCACATATATAGAAGCTCTGGATTTTACCAGAGTCAATTTCTTCATTTTGACATTGTGCAAGGTTGCTAGTAGTAAAGAGTGGGGAAAGCTGGGTAAAGCCATATCGGGATCACTATATATTTATTTTTTAACATTTATGGCAATCTGTAATTATTATAAAATTAGAGGTTAAAATATTACTAAACCTCTTAAATATTCATGATGAACACTTTGATATTTGGTTACAACATATTTGAAATGGATTTTATTCAGAATATTATATATAAATTCAATTTCTGCTGATAATCTTCAGAAATGCATCTAGTAAATAAAGTAAAGCTTATATGTACTGCACAATCACCACCTTGTATTTACAATGCAATTTTTCCCTTCATTTAACAAATAGTTTCACATCATAGGATGTTCTTTATTGTTAAAAATGGAATTCCTATTTTCTCCTTTCCTATATCAGCAAAGTCTTGTAAATGTGTCTTCAGGTTAAAGCTGATAGGGTTTTCTTTTCCTCTGTTCAGTAATACATTATTTGTAAGATTTTTTTTTGCTGTCACCTGCTAAAAAATACAACCTAGTACAATTATTCTTAACAAAGATATAAATAATTTTGATTGGAGATAAAAACAGTATATCACTTTACTTTTTTTTAATTACATTTACATAATTTTATACATTCCTATAATAGCCTTTCTAGAATTAGAAAAGTTTATTTAGTCTACCTTCCTACTTTTTTACAGAACAGAATATAAATTGCTTCTTCTAAAAATAAGAGAATTTGTTAACATTGTATTGCTATGACAGAGGTATATTAAGCACAAAATAAAACATAGTATGCCTATATTGAGGATATACTTCCTGAAAGGATAATATCATTAAGCAATTCTTCCCACTATATTTATCTTTGCTGAAAAACTTAAAAGAAGAATTATTAAAAAAGGAACAACTGGGCCCTCCCTGGTGGCGCAGCGGGTTAAAGCACTGCACTAAGAAACTAAAGCCACTTCCGCATGAGTTCGATCCCCGCCTGCCCCGGAGGCGACCACATGGCGTGGCAGACCTCTCCTGACCTGCCCGCTGCTCCCCTCAGCAGTGTACTTCGTCGATCTGCCTGTTCTGCTCCCCGCCCTGTCTCTGGTGAATCCTCTCACCCTCCGCATCTCTGGCCTGTACCCCAGTTCTGTACGAATAAATAAATAAATCTTTTAAAAAAAAAAAAGGAACAACTATTAATTTTACTGTTTTTTAGATACAAAAAGTAATAAAACCAAAGTGTAGTGCCCTTTATTTGAAAAGTATGTAAAAAGTCCCAAATTGAACTGAATGTTGCTACTTATATACTTATTAACATTATGACCAGACTGTCTCCATGTTATAATTTGGGAGACACCCAGACCCTCTGACTTCCCATCAGAAATCCAAATATAAGAGAATCACATTTTTTTAAAAACGCAGATATTCCAGGCAAGGGAGGCATTGTGAAATGTTACTCTGTGGAGGTTACTTTCATATTAGTCAGGATTATATCCTGTTGTTGAGTAGAAAGAGGCTTTTAGAAAATAGGGTGCCCCCAAACCAAAATTTTGCTGTCTTCATTGTGTGCCCACCTTCATAGGTTTCCTGTTTTAAATAAAAGAAGGGATCCCATTATCCCACTTACACATTTTGGGGCATTCTTTTTATTCACTTTGAAAGGCACTCTCCAAAGTCATTGGACTTAGGGGATCATGTAAATAACTTGTCTGATTTAACTGTAGAATGCATTTCATTTTACTACTATTACAGAAATGTGGTATGGGCCATTCATAAAACTTTACTGCATATAATATAAGTACAATGGTGAATGAGCCTTTATGAAACTCACACTCTGTTAGGAAGGCAGATAACAAATAAATAATTTGACAAATAGATAACTAACAAGCCTTGCAGTTTATTCTCCAGGTTTGGAAGATAAGGACTGGTCTTTGTGAGGAAACTTAATTTCTGACTTAGGAAATGAGTAGAATGTAATCAGAAAAGATGAGACTGGGAGATGGAACAGAACTGAATACAAGGAATCAAAGGAAGGTCGAGGAATTAGTCACGGTACCTAATACAATTAGAGCATATAAGAAATTGGCATTTTGCAGAGGTGTCCAGTATGATTTGATGATGGTAATGAGCATTAACATGAAATTTGAAATGACTGGGTATCTGCAAAATAGTCAAGTTGAGTAATCTATTTATCAGAGAGGTTCATATATTACCAGGGTCACAAGTAGGTGAAATGGACTGGAAAATAGTATTCCTCATGAATATATTCTCATATATTATATGAAAAGGGAAGACAAGAATAGAGACCAAAAAAAAATATGTACAGGTGTTTTGATTATGTTTTTATTGTTCTGTGATGAACAATGTAGAACATGAAAATACAAAGTTTCATTAAATTCACTTTTATTTCATGTGATTGACTATACATGTATATATGTACATATTTTTTTCTCAGATTTAGGAAATAATAAGTAAATTAAACCTCCCTGACTTAATTGTTTGCTGCTTATTTACAGTTAAATAAATGTAAAAAAAAATTCCCAAATCATTTAGAACCACTTATCTTTAGTTAGGTGAAACACTCCTTGATTATTCTGATTCTAGTTGGCTAAATAAGATTATAGATTTAAGACTATGACTCTCATAATTAGGAATCTTTGCAGTAAACCTTAATTAACTGACTTCTACTATTCCTAAGAGCTATATTTGCAACATTCTATTTTCAGTTTATTTAAATGGTCTTTAAAGGTGTTTCATTTGATTTTAATCTTCAGTGCATGCTCGAAAAACTAGTGTGTGCAGATCAGTGAAAGAAATTATGCAGGTTATAGACATTAAAGGAAAATGTTAATCATGAATAGTCAACCTCAAACAAATTGTGTTTGTAGCTATCCTGACATGTGCAAAAACCTTTAAGGGACCATGTTCAAAGTGAAAGACATGCTAAATTACAAACCAATTCTGCTGATACTTGCTACAGGGTCTATAAAGCAATTATTGTCAGAAACAGGTTGGCCAGTTTATTGGTTTCTTAAAATATACATTCAATACTTCCATCCCTGTCATTGGTGACTGTTCTGTATAGATCTTGCCTTAGGCTTCCACTTTGACTGCAGGTTTCATATTGTTGCTCAAGTAGCAATAATTAATGTAACTGACATTGAAAATAGATTTAAGTCAACAAAAATCTCCATATATTTATAAACTTGAAATTACTATTTGATTTACAGTTCATTGGATTTGCATATTT